GTTGAAAAAAAAGAACCATGCAATTAAAGAGACTCCCTTCCTATGGTCCAGCCTGACCATCTTTGCCCTTTCACTGTTGCAAAATTCCAAGCCAGGTATTTGTGGGTTCATGGCCGGCTAGTAGTAGGAAATAACTGTAAATAGCCCATTTAGTAACTTTCAGAATAGCACCCATTAAAGGCAAACCTCTATGACCTATGCTGTATCTTTCAGTGGCTCCCATGGCAACATGTTTAAGACATCTGGGCTACCTCATACTTGCAGAGAATAGAAGCTGTCAGTAAAACATTTGGGGTAGGATGAGGCGAATCATGAACTTCTTTCTAAAATCACTCCAAAATGGATATTAATGAAAAATAATGACAACTTGCACCATGCTGAATACAGATGGATAAAAATCAACCTCTAGGGATTAAATTTTGTTAAAGTAGAATATATTTACCAGATTATTTTGCTCCCAGAGTATATACCTCAATTTATTTCAGTGAATATATCCTATTAGTAAATCTGTTTTCCTTTTTAAAAAGATAGAAATTAACCCATTCTAAGCAATAAAGTTATAAATTTTTGAGCCAGAAAAATAATTGAGGAAACTTATGTAAATAATTGGAAAGCAAACAATTTTATGCATAACTTTATGTAACAATGTTTTCCAGGAAGCAGTGATAGGTAATTTATATATAAATATTTGAGTCTAGGATCATCTTTTGTATTTTAAACTAAGTTGTATTTATGGGTGTTCTGAAGTTTTGACTTTTGTCAACTATTTCACACTCACAGATAACACAAGTAATTGTACATCTTTATATTACTGTCCTAAAAGTGGACAATATTTTGAAGAACTAGATATCTACAAGATACAAATACAAATAGGCTTCTAATTTTTTGAAAACTTAAGTAACGTGATTTGGCATGAGACATACCTCAAACTATCAGAAAGTCCAGTCAATGAAGAAAAACAAAGTAAGAAAACTAAAGTAAAAATATGTATTCCATTCCCTTTCTAAAATTTCACCCCAAGTAGAAAGTGGTATAAATGTTTTCTGGGGCCAGAGCTGTGGCATAGGTTAAACCTTCTCCCTCTAGGTAACTCTAACTCCGTTGCAGCCATTTGGGAAGTGAGCTAGCAGATGGAAGATTCCTTTCTCTCTCTCTCTCTCTCTCTCTCTCCCCTCACTCTCGCTCTCTCACTCTCGCTCTCCTTTTAGGTAACTCTAAGCTTCAAATAAATAAATCTCTCAAAAAAGGAAAATATTTTTATCTGAATGTCCACAATTACAAAAATACAATAAAAGTATCCTATTACCTACAAGAAGATAAGCAATTATTAAGGTAAAGTTCTTCAGTAACCTGCATGGAAATTTTTATCAAATATCTCTACATTTATTTAAGTTAAAATACAAGCTATCAACAACAGGAGTCACTGTGTACTTACTCCTCACGTGGGATCTCTGTCCTTAATGTGTTGTCCAATGTGAATTAATGCTATAACTAGTACTGAAATAGTATTTTACACTTCATGTTCTGTGTGGGTACAAACTGATGAAATCTTTACTTAATACATACTAAATCGATCTTCTGTATATAAAGAGAATTGAAAATGAATCTTGATGTGAATGGAATGGGAGAGGGAGCAGGAGATGGGAGGGGTACGGGTGGGAGGGAAGTTATGGGGGGAAAAAGCCATTGTAATCTATAAACTGTACTTTGGAAATTATATTCACTAAATAAAAATTTTAAAAAATACAAACTGTCTATAAAACAAGATCTTTCCAAGTTATTTCTGGCCTATGTCAGTGCCCTGCAGACACCTACACACACACCCCGTCCCCACTCCCACTCTATCTCTTTGCCCGCTTACCAGCCGCCCTGATGGATTCCAAGGAAGGTTTTTAAGGAATGAAGGAGCACTATGAGATAAGCAGGAACAAAGCAGGAGGCAGTTGGAAAATTACTAACCCTCAAATGGCAAAACCCTGGGACTTTGAAATCGAGGACAGCCAAGCGTGAGGCTCGCTCATGCAAACGGCGGGCTCGTGCATGATCCAGGCGGGCTCGTGCATGCTCCAGGCATGCTTGCGCATGCTCTAGGTGAGCTCACGCATGCCCCAGGCTGTCCCTGACCATCCCCAACCCCATTCCCAGGACTGGGCGAGGCTGCCCATGATTCACGGAACACATGCTCTGGGAGGATTTAAGTGTCTGTGCTCAGTTCTGTCTCTCTTGTGGTTCTCCTAACAGGAGAATCTAAAAGGTTGATATAGCTGCCTTTCACGTTTGCATCTTCTTCTTCATACCTGCCCCCAGTATTTAAATGCTCTCACGTTTCTCTATTTTTTAGGGTTCCCACTTAGCAAAATGGCGAGGTTAGAACTGCTCATTAGAGTTCTCCGCTTGTGAACCTTTTTTTCCCAGGAGCCGGTTTAAGTAATGGCAATTACAGTCACCTGGTCCATTGTTACTCAAGAACTGAACATCTTAGCTGAGTCTCCTGCCTCACTTTCCATATCCCACTCATGACAGTGCACATTCCACATTTCACCCATTGTCATGGGCATTTTGCCACTAGGACACAACTGCTCTGGTCTTGTGACATAATAGACTTAAGCCAATAGTGTTCCAATACCGTACTTTTGGAAATCCTTTAAGAAAATATTTTGAGGGGTCAGCGCTGTGCTGTAGCCAGTGAGGATGCCACCTTAAGTGCCAACATCCCATATGGGCACGGATTTGAGTCCTGGCTGCTCCACTTCCAATCCAGCTCTTTGCTATGGCCTGGGAAGGCAGTGGGAAATGGCCCAAGTCCTTGGGCCCCTGCAGTGGGGTAATGGACCTGGAAGAAGCTCCTGGCTCCTGTCTTCAGAACCACTCAGCTCCGGCCATTGAGGTCATTTGGAGAGTGAACCAGCGGATGGAAGACACCTCTCTCTCGCTCTCTCTCTCTCTGCCTTTCAAATAAATAAATAAATAAATCTTTTAAAAATATTTTGAGCTCTCCTACTAACAACTTACTTTCTTACTCTTTTGTTACTTATTATGCACACTTTTTCCCAAGTGATTTTCAATTCTGTTTTAGATATCAAATTAAGGATGAGGATTATTACCTCAGAGAATATGCTACAGATTCTGATGAAGACTACAAAAATCTTTATCTCCCTAATGTGGCTTCCAAGGAATGATCAATCAGTCAATTGATCTATGTTTTGATGAATTTGTTTAAAATATCATTTTCTTTAGTCATACTTAATGTAAAATACACAAATTTCAAATTTCCGAAAATCATAATATTCTATGGTGCTTTAAAGGAAAATTGTTCTGAGAGTGATTTTAAAAATTGTGGTAAAATTTAGAAGATGCTCTAGAATTTTAATATTTGGATCATTATTCAATGTTATTTTGCTATTCTTGATTACTGATATAGACTGCCTGCAGACAGTTGACTGAAGTACACACTAACTCTGTTACATGCCCCTAAAGGTTTTCTGAAAACTCTAGTGATGTGCCTGTATATTTTCCCTGGTATTTATCCCTCATGTGTCTCCCTCTTATTAAATGCTGCACACACTTCAGTTGGTAATTTAAATTCAAAGAGATTTACCACACTTAAAGTCAAAAGGTTATTTGAAAAATCACCTCCATGCCTATAAAGCATTACAAATTACAAATATCAACAATGATTTTCAGTGTTTAAAACTATTAATTTACTGCGAGTAAATCAAGAACAAAAGAATATAATGGAAAATAGTTACTGTGAAAAAAATATTTTATAAAACATTTTAAATCTCAATGTTTTCACAGGAAATGCTTAATTTCCAGCTCTACATAAAATATGTACATTTTCCTTCATCTCCTAGCATCACCTTAGGCTTCTAGTATCAAACACATATAGATGTTTATGAACTTGGCTAAGCACTATCGTCTGACTTAGAAATGAATTAGGGCAAAATTTCAGAAAAAAGGGAGGCAGGACTGGGGCAGATATTTGTCATTGACATTAAAATATCATTTGGAACATTGACTTCCCATATCAGAGTGCCTGGATTTAAATCCCATGGCTGCTTAGGATTCCAGCTTCCTGAGAGTGCATACTCTGGAAGGCAGCTGGTGATATAGTTGAGTCCCTGCCACTGACATGAGAAACTTGGATTGAGTCTGGCTCCTAGCCACAGAATGGCCCAATCTAGGCTGCTGTGGGCATTTTGGGAGGGAACCAGGATATTGAGGATATTTCATTCTCTATTTTGTTCAAATAAGTAAAAAGTAAAAACAAAAAGTTATTTTAAGGAGGCGGGTGAGACAAAACAGAATTATGTATTAAAAGTAAATATTTATTTATTGAAAACCTTGAACTTTAAATCTCCAGAGGCAAGTATATTTATTCAGTAAATATTTACTGAATATGTTTTATTTTACAGGTCATCATGGAGAAATGAGGGAATACAAAGATGAAATGTACATTCTCTGCTCTCAATAAATTAACAACTTAATTGGAAAATCATATATGCACACAATGCATTTATCATATAACAATAAACTGAAATTACTAAAGCAGTCATCAGGAATTAAGTTGTATTTTTCTGTAATGCTAAATACAAATTTAATATCATTTATTTCACAAGTGGTTTTGATTTGTGACATAACAGCATGTAGTCTCTAGACACAAAGGCAGCTTGTGAGTCCCAAAACATTAAGAAACAACAGGGCAGAAGGGAGGCAATGTGTCATGGAACTTTAATTCATGCCTACAATACAACCATGCCATATGGGTGCTGTTTCCCATCTCAGCATCTCGACTTGCAATACAACTCCCTGCTAATGCACATGGGAAAGGATCAAAAGATGGTCCAGGTGCTTGGACTAGAGGAAACAACTGGCTTCAGCCTGGCCCAGCCCTGGACATTGTGGTCATCTGGGGAGTGAACCAGCAGATGGAAGATTTTCTCCCTCTCCCTCTCCCCTCTCCCTCTCCCTCTCCCGCTCCCTCTCTCATTAACTCTGCCTTCAAAAAATGAATAAATCTTAAAAATCATTAAAGAAAAATAGACATAACATAATACTAATCCAAAGTCAGCACAATCCACCTTGCTTTGAGTAAGGGAAAATTTCATTTCCCACTTAAGATGTTCTAACATATACAGAAGTACAAACTGTTTCCACTCTAGTCCAGTATTTGCATTTAACCTGAGACCCAAGGTAACTTTCATCAAACAAATCTCATTTATTTTTCATTTCCAGCTTATCTATGAATTTAATAATATCCAATTCAAAAGTCCGGCACAGTTTTTAGAACAGCAAAAGAACTTAGTTATATTTCAGTGCATAAATTCTGTACAAGCAAAACACAGGTAGTAAAGTAGACCCAAAAAACATGGTATTTCATTTGCAATGCATGAAATATATTAACTCCCTTAATCATAAATGAGCTCTTCGAACATAGTAACAAAGAGAGGATAATCACAAGGTAAGTGCAGACATTGTGGCACAGTGTGTAAAGCCACCGCATGCAATGCTGGCATCCCTTTGGACACCAGTTTGAGTGCCGGCTGCTCCACTTCCAAGACAGCATCCGGCTAATGCACCTTGGAAAGCAGCAGAAGATGGCTCAATTGCTTGGGGGCCCTAAATGTATGTGGGGGGAGGCCTGGGAGAAGCTTCTGGCTCCTGGCTTCTCCTTATTCCAGCCCTGACTGCTGCAGATATTTGGGGAGTGAAACAACAGATGGAAGATCTCCTCTCTCTTCTCTGTCTCTCTTTCTCTTGCTCTCTCTCTTACACACACACACACACACACACACACACACACACATAACACACAAATGCACTCTGCCTTAAAAAACTAATAAATCTTCTAAAAATCATTAAAGAAAAAGAGATGTGGAATAATACTGATCCAAAATCAGCACAATATGTTTGGCATTGAGGAAGGGCCAATTTCCCTTCCCTCTTAGAATGTTCTAACATGTACCCAAGTATTAACATTTTCCAAACTAGTCCACAGTTTGCATTAAACCTGAGTCTCAAAGTAACTTTCATTAAAATAATCTCATTTATTATTTATTTCCAGCTCATCATCCTAAAACAAATTTCTGTTGTTGATTATTATAGATCATCAAATTTAAAGTTATGCTATCATTTGTTAAAAGGTTTATTTAGTTCTTTGAAAGACAGAGTTACACAGAGAGAGAAGGAAAGGCAGAGAAAAGGAAAAGTCTTCCATCCTCTGGTTCACTCCTCAAGTTGCCCTAATGGCTGGAGCTGGGTCAATCAAAATCCAGGAGCCAGGAGCTTCTTCTGGATCTCTAAAGCAGGTGCAGGGGCCCAAAGACTTGGGCCATCTTCTACTGCTTTCCCAGGCCATAGCAGAGAGCTGAATTGGAAATCAAGCATCTAGGATTCGAACAGGAACCCAAAAGATGCCGGCACTGCAGCTGGTAGCTTTACAAGCTATGCCACACTGCCAACACTATGGCATCATTTATAACAACACATTTATTATACTTTGAATATGAATCTTTGATATTAAAAATATAAAATCTTAGTAATCTTAACAAATCAAGAATCTATTGTTCAGAGTGAGCTGAATGATTTTCCACAATTTAACAAAGTATACATGGAAAATTGAAAGAATGCTCAAGTATAACAACATATGAAATCAAAAAGAACAATATCAAAATGCCCAGGCAAGCTCCTAGATCAGAATACATTCCACTCAGGTGGCCATACTTTCCAAGTTTACCTTAAGACCCCTGCCTTGAACGGTGGCCCTGAAACTCTGCAAGTACCTCAAACAGAATGCATTAAAATATATTCACAAATGTTGAAGGACTAAGGCATTCTTTTTGCTAGGAAAGGTCATATAAGCTAAAAATAAGGCTTGAAAGACAAAATATTGATTTGATTTTCTGATTAGTTCAATTAAGTAGAACCCTTATATCTCTTAAGTATTCTAATCAACTGGGATTTTTATACAAATAGCAGATTCTAGGATTTAAAAAATTCAGAATCAAGACTATGAAGATGTGTGCTCTCAGATCACAATTTTCAAGTGAATTGTTTCCAAAAGTAAGTAATATAGAATACCAAGTGTACTGCACAATTAGAATGATGCTATAAAATCGCAGTAAGCTCTATAGAACACAGAACATTTTCTAAACTTCTGCTTAGAAAACATTCTGAATATACAATATTTTTGCAATGAAAAATGACTAAACAGTGTAATGCTGTAGTATTAAAGACAAAAATATTAATAACTGTAAGACCATGACTGCAATCACTTAATAAACCAGAATACATGAATAACTCAAAGATAGAATGCAACTAATACTCAGCCAAAATTATCTGAATGAAAATTCCAAATGTTACTGTATGGGAGGAGCAAAATCCTAAGAAGTTTTGAATGTGACCTTTTTCCTTTATCTTCATGGAGGAGGTGGGCTATACCAGGACAATTCCATCTGAAAAAAAAAAAGTCATGGAATTAAACATATAAATGCTGCACAACAAAGGAAAGTTAGAAGGAACTAAAGGGTCAATTTGTGTACTTTGAATTAGAGCACCATACCTAGCTCCACAAGCCAGCATAATTCCCATAGAGGGCAGAAAAGAGAGGTCCCCCAGCCGTGAAGAGCTTCATCTCTGGCCAGTTGTAGCAGTGGGTGTAGAGCGCATTTGACCATTCATCCGTACCACCAAAGTAGTGTGCCAGAATTTCATCATGTCTGAGCCAGCCTCTGCCACAGATGAGTTTGAGCTTCTTCCCGGCAGACCCTGGAGAGGTGTCTGGGATGCCCCCGCGTCTGTCCTCTAGGAACTTCTGCGCACGGACGTCATAGAAGAGCAGGGAGCCATGGCTTGTTCCCACCGTGATGATGTGCTGGTAGAAACTCAGCGAGCACACACAGGTACCACCTTCCCGGGAGTGTGCGGTTCGAATGTTGTGTCGGCGCTGGCGTGGATCTAAGAATGAGATATGAGACTGGCAGCCCACAGCGTACAGGGACAAATCATCACAGTAGGTCAGGCAAACGTTCTCGCCAAAGTAGGGCAGCCTAAAGGACAGTATCTTGGACAGGTGGCTTTCTGGTTTCCACAAGTGGAAGTAACCGTCCAGAGAACATGATCCCAGCTCCTGGTTCTTGTTGCTGAAGGCCAGGGCGCGCACCTGGCAGTTATAGGGGTTGCTGCTGGCCCTGGGGATGGCTTCCAGGTCCTTTGGTCTGATGTGCACATTCATAGGGGACCCCACTACATTGCCCGACGCAATGCTGTCATTTGAATTGTCAGGGTCCAACCACCATAGCGCCAGGGTGCCATCCCGGGAACCGCTCACAACCACGTTGTCACTCATCCAGGCAATGGCAAAGATCCAGTCCGTGTGGCCTTGGAGGTCGCCAAGGCACATAGGCTCCAGGACCGGCAGACGATAGATGGCCAGGCTATTGGGGTTTTCACCTCCCGTGGCCATAAGCGTCTTGGAGGGATTCAGCTCCAGAGCGTGGATGCCACAGCACCGCCGGGCTCTGGCCACCGTCGGAACCATGTCTCGAATCAGAGGGAGGCGCGTGATCTGGCCCGAGTATACGTCTAGCACGAAGAGCGTGTTGCACTTGGTGCCACACACCACCTGCCTGCTGTTCAGCCACTGAGACGCGAACACCTTGTTGAGGGTGCCCAGGTTCAGCTGGCGTTCCTTCAGCACCCCGGGCAGGCTCCGCACTGCCTGACTAAACAGCTCGTTCTCAAAGTCCCGGACCCCTGCGCGCCATGGCCCACCCTTCTCGCGGTCCTTCAGGTAGTGCACCAGCGAGCGACATGTGGCAGAACGCCTCTGCCTCCTGTCTGGTAGCCGTCCGTCTCCGTCTGCCCCTGCCAACCCTTTGGATGACGAGCTCCCGGCGGTGGCCTCAAGCTCTGGAGCTGTCCCCTTGTTGTTACCTGTTTGCTGCGGAGCCAGAGTGGATGGCGGGCCAGTGGCGGCCGGGGCCGTGTGTCGACGGTGGTGGCAGGGACGCCCTCCGGTGTCAGACCCGTCGGCCATGATGGCGGTGGGAACGGTGGTTGTTCCAGTCAGACTGGAGCGCTAGGATTAAGAGCCTGGAGGCTGGATGACCCTGGGGCGCCTAGTCCACTCAGCTCAGTAGGCTTTGTAGGCGGCACACCAGCTGAGCGCGGTGGTACGAACCTCCTGGAGGGCTGGGTGTGCAGCAGGCAGAATGGCGGGAGAGTAGCGTGAGGCGAGGACCACACGCGGGGGACGGTAGGGGGAGGGGGGACCTCGTGCAAGGGGAGGAGACTGTGGTGGGGGCAGGGCGGGTAGGCTTGTGGTGAGTAGCAGAAGCTGTCCTGGATTGCATGGTGGGGATCGGAGCTGCCTGAGGAGGATTCCTCACAGCTGCCGCACTGGGACCCTGGCATCAGAGCCCTCAGGAGTCTCTCCAAGCTCCTCACACCAGAGAATTAGCCTTCTTAACTTTCCTACTTGAAATAAATCTAAACTCCAAATTATAGTTCCAAAAGGATCTGCACACTTGGTTTAATGCTGAGAACCCCTCACGTCTGAATTTGCAAAGATTTGGGGCTGTTTGGACATGGCAGGGGACCCCATTCCCTAAGTCTATCCCACTGTCCCTCTTTTTATATTTTTAATATTACTTCATTTATTCGAAAGGCAGAGTGTTAGGGATGGGCTGATACAACGCCCAAATGGCCCGAGCCCTGCCATAGCCAGGATTCTGGAACACAAGGTGCTTTTACCTCCTGGGTCTTATGCTGCTTTTCCATTGATTCATTCTGTAAATGGCTTTATTGGCCAGGACAGGGCCACGCAGAAGACAGGAGCCATGCGCTACATTCTAGTTTTCCTCGTGGGTGCAGGTGCCCAGGCACTAGACCATCCTCCACTGCTTCCCCAGGCACCTTAGCAGGGAGATGTATTGGAGAAGTAGAGCAGCCAGCACTATAAACATGCTCTCAGAAGCATTTCAATCTGCTGGCTACAGCTTCGGCCCCCTGCAACCTACGCAGGCACATTGGAGCAGCCAGGAATGGAACCTACTGCAGATGCGGGTGGCTGCTTACAGCACAACAGTGGGTCTTTCTTCGCTTTTGTGTATATACTAAACATTTTCAAACAAATAGTTGAGGTTTCTGAAATCCTATGCCAGAATCCCCTAGGAGTGTGTTCCAAATACAGTTCCTGAACCAACAAATGTTCTGCTCCTGGTGTACTCCAAGATCATTTAGGTGGCAGCAGCCCTGAGAACCTGGATGCATACAGCGATGGATAGAGGAGGGAAGAGAGAAATGAGAGATTCTTAGAAGGTTTGACTTTCCTTGATCCTCAGGGCCCATGGGAGGTGGAGTGGAGTAGGCCAGGGGACGTATACGTCCCTGCCAGGAGTAGGTAACATCAGTATTTCATTCCTGTATGCTCGGATGACAGCAACATAATACTGTGTGATGTACAGAATTATCAGAAGTAAGGAAGGAGACAATTACACAGAAACAGTGCTGAAAATACAGAGGTTTAGAGAATGGGTTTAGTCTCAGGGTGATAGAAAGGTCCATATCCTGAACTTCAGTTTTCTGCCTGGACCAGGCATACTCACACACGGGGAGTTTATTAACAGAGTAATACCCTGAGCTTGTTGAGGTGGCTACCTGATAGCAACGCTGCACATTCCACAATTGTGTTCATCCCAAAAAAGTGTTTCCTGATGGTGTGTGAGAGGAGGAAAAATTTATTTTATGTCCAATAGAAGAGGTAATGGGGGCTACTTTCTATCTGTTTCCTCTCCCACCAGCCCCTGTTCCTCTTGCTGATTCTCTTTCACAATTTTTCTTTTTTACAGCTTCATCTCAAGGCAAAAATTTCATGCACAAGCCTTGATTGCTTCTTACAAATCAAGCCCATTGTCTGTATTCTACTGCTCCACAGAACACTTTTCTAAAACTTTTTATTTATTTGAAAGTCACAGTTACTGATAGGAAGGGAGGGAAAGTGAGTAGGCGAGAGGGTGAGATGGTATTAGAAGAGAGACAGAGGGGGGAGGGGTTATCTTCCATCCATTGGTTCACTCCACATTGGCTGCAATGGCTGGAGATGCCACAATCCAAAACCCAGAACAGGAGCTTCTTATGGGTCTCCCATGCGGGTAGAGGAACCCAAGGACATGAGCCATCTTTTACTAGTTTTCCAGGCCACAGCAGACAGCTGGAATAAAATTGGTTTCAGCCGGGAATCAAAATGACGCCCAAATGGGATGCTGGCACTACAGGCAGCAGTTTTACCCACTACTACACAGAGCCAGGGATTAATGAAAGCATCTCACCCCCTGCGCTTCTATTGGTTGTCAAAACCCACAGCTACCTGTTGTCTCTCCTCCACCCCACCTTCCATTCCTATCACACAAGAAAAGATACATGGGTGAGCTTGCCCAAGACCTAGTATAGATATTATAAGACTCTGTCACTTAACCGGGATTGGGAAGGATCACACACGCTAACTTCTACCTGTTCCTCTATGGTGAGGCTGCACCACAGGCCATAGCTCCTGCCACCCTACAGAGAATATCTTGTTTCATCCACTGTTAACTATTGTTCTCCTTTTTAAGTGAGGCTATGGAGAGTTTTTGAGGTTATGATTTTTGTCAGTGAATTATTTAGGAAACACGTAGTTTGAATTCTACACTCCATCTTCTTATCCATTTCACAGAGACTGATGTAATTTGAAGGATTGAGTCACAGGTTCTACTAGTGGTAGGCATTCAGTAAGCTTCCCTTCCTAAGCCCCACAAATGATGAGATATGACTAGGGAACATCTGTGGAGATTGAATGCCAGGTGTAGAAACACAAGGAAGAGCAGCTGTGAGGGATTCCATGATTCAGGCAGAGGTCAATAGCGAGGCCTGATGCAAAGGGCAAAAGCATAGCTCTTCTGGAACAGCAGCTTGGCAGACCTGCAAGGATCAGTAGAGGTCAAAATGACGTCAGAACGAACAATAGGGGTAGCCACAGCAAACAAGAACTAAGGACTACACCCAGTGCCTTTTTCTGGGAACAACAAATCATGAAAATTATAGTAACATCCCTTATGCCTCAAGAGGGACCTTTTCAATTATTGATATTAGACTTTCTATCATCCAGGTGTTTAAGGCATGGACTCAAATGCAATTTGGCCTAGAAGAATAAGGAATTGTGATACATCTTCCTCCCAAGTTTTAAGACAGAAAATAAAATTCATGAAACAAGTTTCACAAAAATAGGGAGACTTTCATGTTTGGGGTGGTGAGGTACCACACATAGTAGCGTAGCACCTTTTACACAGTTATGATCCTCCCTTAGTCATAATGTTTGTCGATATGTCTCTAGTGCTGGATGCTGGGTATTATAGCTGTCCAAAATGTCACATAGATGTAGGAAGGATACTTAGAGTTCTGAACAAGATACACTCAACTATTCCTTCCAAGCAACTCACTTAAAACAAAAACATGTCCTCAAACATAATACAACTGCCAAGTAAATAGAGTCTCGGAAGCAATGGAAAGAAGTCGTATGGAAAAGCTACAAAAGTTCTATGGACTAAGGGCCTCAAAGTGTGACATATGACAAGATGATGAGTTCACTGGATCTCCGTATTGTATCCTGTAGATTCTGGACAGAAAGCTACAGAAGCTTGCAACTCAGAAATGTCAGTAGGCACATACATTAAAAGTTCCAAGAAAAGCCTGTTCACCCGCAGCAGAGGTTATGGGAAACGAGAGGTAAGTTAACAACTGAAACATCTTCCTGGCAATACCTACCCTAGCCAAACATCAACAGATTTACCTCCACTTCACTCAGAATCTGTTTCCATGAGGTCAAGTGGAGTGTTTAACTTCTGATCGCAATTTGGCAGAAGCTAGGCTTATATGCCATTTCCTCATTGGGAGTAGCACCAGTGTGTCACATTGTGAGCTAAGTCCCCACCTGCACTCAGGTATCAAGGAGATTTAATGCAAGGATTAAAAAAGGTCTAGTCACCACCATGCTTCACCTGCTTCTCTTTTATCACTGTAAGTATGACTCAATGAGAAGCTGAAGTTTCACTCCCAGCCACCAAAGGTGAAATTTAACAAAGTATTGAAAATCAGAGCCAATCAGCACTCCAATTCTTCCATCCGTGCTATGGCTGAGAAGCTGATATTCCACACATAACCAGCAGCAAAGTCATTGAGGTGGGAAGACAAATCAAGGAACTCAACTCTTAGGGATGTGATAGTCTCTTCAACAAGTGGTGTTGAGAACATTTAATCTATGCATACTGAAGTACGAAACAAGACCCCTGTCTTACATGTTATACAAAAATCAACCCACAATGAATCAAAGAACCACATCAGTGACTTAATATCATCAAATTAACAGAGGAAAACATCAGGGCAAGTCTGAAAGACATTGGGATAGGAAAGGCCTCTTGGAAAAGGCCCTAGAAGTACAGGCAATAAAAGCAAAAAAAGACAAATGGGATTACATCAGCTAAGAAGCTTCTGTACGGAAAGGGAAACACTCAACAAAGTGAAAAGGCAACTGACAAAATTGGAAAATATATTTGCATGTGGATCAATATCTATAATATGTAAATTTTCAAGAAATTTTCAACAACAACAAAGCAAAAAAACCAGTTAAGAAATGGACAACAAATATGAGCAGACATTTTTCTAAAAATGATATATAAATGGCCAACAGAGACATGAAATAAGTGCTCAGATTTACTAGCCATTAGGAAAATGCAAATGAAAATCACAATGATGTTTCAGCTCCTCCCAATAAGAATAGCTAACATGCAATAATCAAAAAAAATGCAGATGAGGTTGAGAGGGATATATTAATGCACTCTTGGAATATTTCGCAGCCACACAAAGAATGAAGGCCTGTCCTTTGTTAAAAATAGGGGATGCAACTGGAAACAATTACTATTGGTGAAATAAGCCAGTCCCCAAAAGACAAACATTATATGTATACTCTGATATATGGAAGTTAATACAAAATACAACAATGCAGAGGAATGAAATGAACACCTGAGATTTGATTGTTATTTTAGTTCTTGTTAATACTCCTTTGAAACTATGGTCTTTCTACATTTTACCTGTTGAAAATTATGGTTAGTGGTGCATTAAACCTCTGATCATAAATGGGACTGAAATTTTGTTTCTATAGAAATTAAGAAAAACAGGAGAAAAGGGAATGAATGATGGG